CACGTGAAGCAAAGACAGCTATAGGTTGAGAATAATTATCTGCCAGTGGTTGAAATAACAAAACAAGGCCATGATTAGCTAAGTCATCTAAGGTAGTAGCTTTTGGTAATTCAGTACAAAGTTCATCCTCTTTTCCAAAATCCACTAGCCCAGTATATGAAAGTGTACGTGATTTCACAGCTAGGTTCTCTCGTACACTTATTTCGTCAAATACAATTAATCCGTGCCTTTGCATTACATTTTTAGACTCAAGTCTTTTCTTGAACAGTTCAAAAAAATTATCATCAAAACCACAAGATGTGTTAATAGAAGATAAATAATTTCTTACAGTTCTAACGCAAGGCAATGGCATAATATTATTATCACGCAAAAAAGAATATCCAGATGGTGATTTTATATGAAGTAGCAAACACAACATTATCCAGTTATCCGAATATCTATTACCACGAGAATCTTTACATTTTGAAGCAGCCAATATTTCACGAACTAATAATTTGTGTGTGTGTGATGAAATTTTTTGTAATATAGATTCTTCATCCATATTTTCTAATTTTTTTTCATAATCTTCTATAATTGATTCAAGCTGATCAATTTTTTTCCGCAACTTTGTATTAGCTCGTTGTTTTAAACTGTTGCGCTTTCGAAGAAGTTTTAAGTTTTCTTTTTTACTTGGGGTAACTTTCAAGGATATTCTCTTTAAAGGTTYGGATTTTCTTCTATATTTTTTATTGCTAAATAACTGATTAACCAAATTGCATGATTTACAAATTTTTTTATTATCTTCTGGAAGTATAATAGAGCAATTTTTATGCCTCCAGTTGTATGTAGCATCAATGTACACGGTTTCACTTTTAAATTTCAGATTTTCATCTTGGACATTAACACCTTTACAGATATCTTTATTATGGAATTGACAAATGATTGATGTAAGTAGTTCAATATTTAATTCTAATTTACAATCATAACTAGGTARTAATAATTGAATAGGAACATTCTTTCCTAAATAATTACACTGTACCTTGCCTCTAAAATCAACAATTACAGTTTTTCCAAAAACTGGCAAGATTACACTAGAAACRATACCATTAGATTTTTTCGATAGTAACTGAAAGTAAACTACAATTTCAGGTTTATTTATAGATGTAGATTTATTCCAACCCAATGGCATTTTCACAATTGTGTCATTATTATATATTAATTCAAATATATGATCATGTAAAGGAGAAGCTAGTAAACTTGTTTCTTGATCATCTGGAGCCTGAAAATATATACGATAAATAAAAACAATAATTATTTTCTAGAACACTTGATGTTCASTCAGTTCTTACTTGATTAGACACTTTTTGAGAATCAAACACTTCTACTTGTTTTCTTGGGCCTGAATAGAATTTTAATGGTTTATTCATACAAAGTTGATTTTTTG